AACTAAATTAAATCTATTTAAATCATAATCTCTAATTTCTGATATTTTATTTTAGTTGTGGAATATTCATGACGATTTTCAAAAAAAAATTAGAAATAATCTTATCAATTATCAAATCTCCAATATAAACTTAGATTTTCCAACAATACATTCCAATTTGATTAGTCATATGATCATATCAAACTGTAACAAAGGAAGAGTATCATGAGCAAATGTTCTTTTTCTTTCCATAATTTATTTTCTTTTTCATTCCATCATATTTGTTTTAGGATCTAGAGGTTTTGGTAATTAAGTTTATTTTTTCTTGATTATCAACCAAATTTTACTTTTTTCTTTCTATCTCTTCTTATCTTTTTCGAACTAAATGGTTAAATTCTAGGGGGAATTAGCAATATAACCATATTGAAGTATGAGTATATAGCCATGATAATCAGGTAATAAAATCACAAACTAGAGTCCAATTTTTTGACGATTTTTCCCCAAAACTCATGCCACCTCATCGTCTCTTTCCTTTTATTATGTATAGTTAGTTAGATTGTTGTTAAAAATGTTTTAGTTTTGTTTTTACAATAATATTTGTCATTAATTTAACATGTAAACGAGTTAATAAGTGTTGGTATAACAATTTATGTGTATTAATGAACTGAAAATGTAAAGAAAAGTTTGGAGATACAATTCGCGGTGGGTATAGAAATTTGTTGCTAGCATTTTAGTTACAATGAAAAATTGGATTCGATCACTCTGAGCAAAGCCATCAAGGTTATCCTCTTGTATCTGGATTCTGATATAGATATGATATAAATTATTACCTTCACAGTACGTTTTTTTTTTCTCTATTGCTTGTCAGAATATAATATTTTTCTTCTTCCACTACTCACCAAGAGTTTACAAAAATTAATTTAATTGACTATATCTTATAAGCATACATTTGTAGTTGCTTATAATGATTCATAGATGAAAATAAGTAAATCACCTTAACAATATGTCAACTACAACCAGTATGCCTCCCCTTTTGAATCCAGAGTCGCTTTTAACAGCTTCTTCTGCATCTCATTACAATTGGAAAAATTTTTCACTTAAAGTGAAAATGTGATGATTTTCATGCTTCACGGCTAAATTAGAGAGCAATGGAAGTAAATAAATAGTGTTCTTCTAACTTGAATAATTTGGTAAGCAAATTAAATTCAGGAAAAGGCACCTAAGATTGGAGAAGACTGAATCTTAAGTTTGAAAAAGCACCTAAGATTCAAAATACATACATTCTACAATGCTTCATAAAAAAAAATTATATGTATAAAGTTTAATGTTATTGTAGTCATAACAACATCAAACTCTATAAGCTCTTTTTTTAGTGTGCACAGATAATGACTTTGACGAAAGCTCGAACATTATATCTTAAGAGGCCAGATTTAGTATTTGAGAACTTATTTATAGGGAAAGGTTTGTATTAAAAAGTGTAAAACATATAGGACTGAAATGTTTAGCAATATGGTAAATTTCATAAAGTGAAAGGTAAAATTACTGTCATTTTGCTATGATAGATTGTGATGGTGCGATATAGTTTCGTAAGAAACAGTAAAGTAGTAGAGATTTGTTGGGTCATACCGTAAACTATGGAAGAGTTATTCCTCACTGTGACAAGCCACTTTTTAAGAGGGACTCTCAGACTCAGAATGTTTTCTTCACCTCGATAAAGTTTGAGCATTCCTTATTCACGGCGTCAATGTCTTCTTGAGATCGATGCCACGACCACAGCAAAGCCTTTATCTCAATCAAAGTCTATTCACTTCTGTGAATTCTTTGAAGTCCTTCAAACTATTAGGTAAACAAAAAGTAAAATTGTTACTACCAATGTGCTTATGTATATAATTAGTTAATTGTATTTTAAATACTATTATAAATGTGTTCTTAAAAAATTAGAAGGACTAGACACCTTTGATTATTTATTTTTATTTTTTATTTTTTTATTATAATATTTTTTTCTGTTAAAACTTTAATTATTTAACTTTAATCATAAACATAAAAAAATCTTTTTATTCTTCTTTATTTTCAACTATTATATCTTTTTCTTTGTATTAAAAACCGAAAGAATGAATATAACTACATTAGAATATGATTTTTCTTTTAATTTTCACATAATTGTTCTCGTTTAGGTATTTAGTTTAGATTTACATATTTTATTTTAGAAAATTGGTTTCGTATCATTGAAATATTTTTTTTTTCAA